CTGAAGCCATATCTTCCTCGGTTCGAGCCTAGACTTCCACTGATTCGACTGTCGCCATTTCACCCCCTAGCTCGTACAAGGGACTCATTGTCGACTATAACAATCTCAGCCGACTCAACTCGAGCAGCCTCAGAAAGAGGGGCAATGAATATTTTACCTTCCTCAGCTTCTTGATCTCGAGTAGCCACCCCTACTATAGCTACTTCCCTACCATGTGCTGGTTCAGCACTTCCAGAAGGACCTTGGCTACCCACTCTACTCACCCTGCTTCTTCTTCCTCTCAAACCTCTCGTCCTTAATAGTAGAAGTGCTTGGCTCGGCCAACTGAGCCACACTCAACAGCTTTCGTTGTAACCTCCTCGACCTCTTCTGGGTCCAATCCAGATTTGAGATTTTTTTGGAGCCCGATTGGGGCCCTCACCTGAGATGCATCTAGCTCTGCCAGCAGTAGCTCTAAAATCACTACTCGAACTTTGTCTTCTTCGGTTGGCGGAATCCTGGAGATGCTGATCACTCACAAGGCCGAAGGATCGAATAAGTTCTCCATCCTATGTGACCTAGAGTAGGCACAAATTCTCCCAAGCCCACGCTTTTCCTCGGCCATGAGAAAACCCTGCTTCAAGACATCTTTCTTAATCTCGGGCCAAGCCAAGTAAGACAGAATTAGGTCGGCCTCAAAAATCCAGATGAACTTCTCCTTTTAGTCCTTGTTCGACTAAGGAGGGTTTGAGACGACTTTGAAACCACCTAGATTCCAGAAGTAACAGTGACCTTCGTTCTTCCTAGTCTTGACGCTGAGAAGGTGGCCAAGAATTTGGAGGGTTAGTTCGACTCCCACATAGTGGTAGATCACCACAAACCCCACCCAGTATGGTAATGGAGTTCAACTTAATCTGAGAAGGAAAACCCCCAGAAACTCGAAGGTGCAACGAAGAAACGGGTGGTTCGGGAAACGGAAGTCATACTCTAAATGCCTAACATACACCAGAGTGATGACACCGCTGTGATTATACACCGCTTGAGTCTTCTTTGACGCTGACAGCATGAACTCACGGGGGATATCGAAGCGGTCCTAGTAGCCATCGAGCTCCATAGAGTGCATCTTCGAGTGAAACTTCTGTAGCAGATTGATCCTAGCCTCGTTACGGGCAACGACGATAATAGTAGAGGAAGTCATTTGTTAATTCTAACTCTTGAGTGAAGGTCATTGTCGGAAGATGTAGAGGAGATGATCGGATGTTGCTCAAGCATCAAGAGTTGTAGGGTTCTGAAAGTAAAGCTAACCCTCCCAAAGAGCAGAGATGTACATAGGTATGGAGGCAGGCATGTTGTGTGATCATAGCAGTCGACCCAGTCATTGACGAACGGCTGAGACCAATCCTAAAATTCCAAGGACCGCTCGGAAACAAAGCGCCACCCTTTAATTGGCACACATTTCGCACTCGGAGAACGAGGTGATGCCAATTAATGCATGATCTCCCATGATGTCAAAACATCACATCAGATGCAACCCCTCAGGGATCCCTCTTAAATGCGCCTCAAAATCCCAACAGTCAACAATTCATTTCACTCAGACTCGGCCACTCGAGTCCATGTGAAAGGGGCCAATGTTACCACACAGAAATGACTAAGTGTTAATCCCCCTAGGAGCTGAAATGTATCCATACTAGCTAAGCATCAGATCGACTTCACCTTAGGTAGGACGACTCGAGCAATATCGACACTCGACCCTTCCTAAATAGGGGCGTTTCGAAAGGCATCCTCACTTGGAGCCACTACTTGAGTCGACCCTACTCCTCTACACCCTACGAGGCTAGGTCGAGAACTTTTGAATCCAAGATGTCCGAATAAAAAAGCAATACTTATCGGCCCGCTCACAAGACTGAAACAAAAGGTATCATTTGTCGGACCTCTCATAGAGCCGAGTCGAGAGGCGATTTGTCCTTGAATCCCCACCGACAGTCGATCACCATCACATTGAATGCGCGATCAGAGCCATCATTACTCCAACCTCAAAAGTCTTTATGACTCATCGGACCTCGTCAGCACCATGTATTCCTCATCACCATCACATTAAACACATAGGTGACTCATCCCCTCTGTAGCCGACACATGTAAAGTGTCTACCGACTGAGCCGCCTACTTCGACTCAGCCAAAGTTACACAACTGCCCCTCTGGACCTGTTATAAATAGAGGCACTATCTGCTGCACAGAGGTAAACAATTTCTTACTACTGAACGTATTTTAACCCTACTCTTCTCCACTTAATTACTTGACAGACTTGATCATTGGAGGAATCATTGGAGATCTCAACTCTGATCTTCTCACGTGTTGTTTATGTGCAGAAATGAATTCTCAGATCAACAACCAACTGTCTAAGGAAGATTAAGGACCCCTAATACATTGATAACTCCATAATTAATCCATTGTTTGATAACTGACATCAACGGATGTCAAGTGAAGTCAGTGTGTTGCAATGAGTTTTTGATATTTTAGTACATTGTAGAGCAATAGGAATACTATCAGAACCACCGCTCTATATGATGTTCTAATAGAATCTTTACTTGTTGTAGAGTGATGTAGATAGTGACAAAAAATGTGAGTCTTGAAACATGATTATAGTATAATTGATTATTATAATAAGCAGTCCACCGTATAATTATACCATTATTGAGGAGTTAACTCTACTTGTAACTGGACACCGTATATTCATAGAATAATATGTTGGGCTTTTTTCTTATCGCTATACCCCTTGGGTCTGTAATACTTTTAGGTGCCGTTTGGCAAATGGTTAATGAAGAGGGGTTAAAGAGAAGGATTAATGTACTTAGCCCATTTGATAATTCGAAGGACTAAATTATTAACCCGTTAAATAAGTTTTATTTTAGCCCTTATGATCAGTTTTAGTGTTTGGGAATAACAATGATTTTGACTATTTTCTTTATAATTAGAAGGGTTAACTCTTATTCCATCTAAATAGGAGTATTAGTAAACTCCTCATTTTGAGGGGTTAACTCATTTTAACCCCTCTAGAGGGGTTAACTTAACCCTTCTATATTTTTTATGTTTGGCAAATTATGGAGGGTTAACTCACTTTAACCCTTATATAGATTTATTGTGTTTGGCAGGTTAAGAAGGGGTTAAGTCTCCTTAACCCCTCACTTAACCCTTTGCCAAACGGTACCTTAAAATAAAACCTCAAATCCGACTGTTTGCAATTTATTCCCACTAATTATCCGGAAGTACTCCTTAATTTAAACTTTGTATTCACAAGTGATTTTATCCAAGTATTCAAGTGCTTTTATCTAACTATATTCTCAATAGTTAACCAGAGTACCTCATTAGAAAAAGAGAGGCACTAGGGGCACACCCTCTACTACACTCCCAACCACACCACCTCTATTGCTACAGTGCACGGGGCTCACATGAGATTTTAAAAATTAAAATCTCATGTAGGTCCCGTGCACTGTAGCAAGAAAGGTGGTGTGGTTGGGAGTGTGGTAGAGGGTGTGCCCTTATCATTATTTTTAGAAAAATGATGACAACGTCATTAAAAATATGGAATCAAATAAAAGATAGTTTTTGGATTCAATAAAATTCTAATTTGTTTATTATAAATAGTTTTTGGATTCAATAAAATTCTAATTTGTTTATTATAAACCTAAAATTTGGCATAAGGACTACTGTCCATACGAATGAAGAACCAATACTTCACTGCAAAAACTAATGGATTCGCTACGAATTATTTATGACGGAGACTTTTGTTGGACTTTTTAGCAGAGGGTGTTTCTTGAAGAACAAGACGATGAAAGGTTTTTCTTGTAACTTTAAAAAAATTATGAGGGTTCTTTTTAGGTATTAGTCCATTGTATATTCAATAGCTGCATATTAGTCGCTCAAATGTTGAAAATTACATATTAGTCCCTTAAATCCTATAGAGTCATGCAAAAATGGTTCCTATGTTGGTGTTTTAGTTAGAAAACCTTAACCAATGTTGGGTTAACTCCTGACCAAACACCTGCAATCACCAAACCACCCCCTCTCTCTAATGTTTCAAACCTTTAGAAGTTCAACTTTACGTTATGGTTCATTTCTAACCAGTTGAGAAGACATCAAGTGGCTTTGTATTTTTTTTAAGCGGGGGTTGTGTTTAAACTTATTAAGAAATGAGTTAGAGAACATAATAGAGGGGTAAAACGGCGACTTTTCCTTCAACCGTTAGATTTAACGGAATATTCTCCTAAGATCTAATGTGTGCAAACTCGAAGGACCATTTTGTAAGACCCTATAAGATTTAAGGGATTAACATACAATTTCTTAGATTCGACGACTAATATGCAATTATAAAAATGTCATTGAGCGAGGGGGGTAAAAAAAAGGGTACAGGCTTTGCTTGTGCACCAATAAAACCCTAATTTTGTTTGGTGGGCTAAGGGCCACTTGGACCCCTTAAACCCGTAAAAACCCAACTCGTTTGTCCCATTAGGCCTCTAGAAGGCCTACAACCCAAAATAAACCCCCGAAGTCCAAAAAAAATTCTTCTTACAAATAACAAATATGCCCCTCCTCTCTGCCACCTCACCCACTACCGGGACGATGGAGAGGCTCACCCTGCTCCGCTCCTTATCCGGTTCCTCCGCCGCCTGCCGCCGCCTCGCCTCCCGTCTTAACCCCAGGCACCGCCCCTTCTGCTCCTCCAGTCGCCACGGCAAGCAGCAGCTGTATCTGCAGCAGCTTCGTAGCTTATCATGTTCCAGCGCACTCCGCCGGAGCCCCGTCACCGCCCCTTTCCTTCGCCGGGGGAGGAACTTCTCTCTCACCCCCGTCTCCGTCTCCACTTCCCCCAGAGAGGCGTCTAGAGGTGGGATTTCCGCGAAAATCTCGATTCGATTTGGGTGTTTGTAAATTCTCCTCCAAATTCGATTTTGATGAAGGATGGCGTCTTTCGTGCGTTTTTATTTGATGTGATTATTTGGGGTGAAATTACTTGGAAGAGAAGTTTTTGTCACTTGGGTGGTTATTGATTCTTCTCAAGATTGGATTTTGATAACGTGAGAAGTAAAGAAAATGTTATTTATCTTTGAAGAAATTTTCTAAACCCATTCATATATTTTTTCTAAAAATAGATCCATTTGAGTTTCATTTACAAAAATAGACCCATTTTATCTTAATCCAGTTCCTAAAAATAGTCGGGTTACCAACCCGACTATTGAGGAGAATATAAACCCTCAATTATAACCCTGAACCCTAACATTCTATGCACTAAATGCACTAAATAGTGCTAACCCCGACTATTTAGAAACCGGATTAAGACAAAATGGGTGGATGTTTATAAAAAAACTCAAGGGGGTCTATTTTTAGAAAAAAAATTATGAATGGGTATGAATGGGTTTGTTTAGAAAATTTCTTCTTTATCTTTTAGCTTTGATTGAAAATTTATAAGTACTATTTAGATAGCAATTGGTCATTCTGTTGTTTAATTGTGAATCCACACCATTGCCATCAAACTCTATTAATGTGAATCATGCATTATAAATAAGCAAATGACATATGATGCTTCGCATAACCTTATGTAAATTTATTTGCTTATCAAATTCATGTTACCTGTTGGATGTGAGTGGAACAATTCTTAAGATAATAATTCATTCTCGATTATAGGTATTTTAAGCTTTATCTTCTGTTTTTGCATTAGTAGCTTTGTGTACAACTATTTGGTTTATGTATATATGGGGAATGGGATGTCAGATTTTGAGATTTTCTCTTTTCTATGTTTTTCCCCTCTCATTCATTCTGCTATAAGTAATTTTTTCTTCTTTTGCCGCAATCAGATATAGATAGCAGCCATGATATTGCAGAGAAGCTTGGGTTTGAAAAGTTATCTGAGCAGACCATTGATGAATGTAAATCAACTGCGGTACTCTACAAGCATAAGAAGACCGGTGCAGAGATAATGTCTGTTTCAAATGATGATGAGAATAAGGTTTTTGGAGTTGTTTTCCGCACTCCACCGTAAGTATATAATATAACAGCTTTTTTTCTTGTGTTTATTCATTTCCAATTTAATGATTTACATCCTCCAGTGTACTAGAGTTATGATTACCACCTTTCATCTGTTACTGTATTTATGCACAAGTCTTTTTTCTTTCTCAAAAAGGCTATACACATTATACATCTTCTCAACTTGGCCTAAATGGGTTAAAAGCTGATTGCTTAATCTTGTCTTTACAGATGTTTCTTTTCTAATTATGGATTTTCCTTGCCCTTTTATAAAATCTGTTAGGTGTATTTCTTCAATGTCACAAGTTTATTTGTACCAGAGCAATGTTTTAAGCCAAGTCATGTTAAATATACAAATGGTAGGTATCCCATATGTAAGTCACAAAGACACTTCTGGGCTAATGATAATGGTTTCCTAGTGATTTACTAGACCTTGTAAGAGGTGATATCTTGAGCAAATAAGAGAATTTCTTACAAAAATCTGGATGAAGGACGATAGATATCTTTGCATGTATAATGGTAAGGTTCATACACAGTTCTAGATTCATGACAATAGCTTCCTAGAGGTTTATAAGATTTTGATAGAGGTGATCTCTTGAGCAATAAGGGCCCGTTTGGACGTAATTTTTGGAGGGTGAAAGCCTGCAAAAGTTCTGAAAAAGTCAGAACTTTTGCAGGCTTTCCCCCTCCAAATAATGCAAACAAACGGGCCCTAAGAGAATTTCTTAGAAAGGACTCTATAGACATCATTGTGAGCGAACACAAAATATTATATAGGTTGCTTGATAAATAAATTGTGTCAAAAGGGATAAGTTGGAGGTTACGGGGTTGGCTCACAACCCAAGTTAGTCATGAAAGTTGAAATATCACTTAGTTAATTAAGAAAGAAATTTGAAATATTAACTAGTTGATTATGAAAACAGAATCATAATCATCAGTGCTAGATGTGTTTGACACAAAATGATCTAGAGATCATTTCACATCAGCAAACCTAATGTATTATATGTAACTTTCTAGATAGAAAGGTGATGTGCGCAATTAAATTTGATTGAAGCCCGATGTCGTTACCTGATGAGAATGAGATGTTTCCCTATAGTCAGGTTATCTTGGCTCCACGTAGTTTTTACTAGTTGGAGAGATTGAAGATGCAAATATTAGAACTGTATTGCTAGGACTAGTTCTCATATTTCTTATCTTAGGTTCTTAAATGTATTTGCACGGCTAGCAGGATTCAATCTTTATTAAGCTTCACTTTGATGACTCACCATTTTTACTATTGGAATAATTCAACTTGTGGATGTTTGAACATGTTCAGTCAACTGTCTAAAGTGATTTTAAAGTTTGATTAAGGTGTTAAAAAGTTGGTTGATTTTTATAAAATAGGAAATTGAATTGTAGCTTTATTGTACATGGCGTATGCAGGTTGGAAGAAGTTCTGCAGCTTCAAACTAATGAAAGGAGCCTATCACAATTTTAATCAGGGTTAATATATAGCATGTCTAGTATTGACAAATAAATGCCCAATGATTATGGTAAGGCTGAAAAATGAGGTTGTTATTAGAGGTGCTTAAATTGGCTCCAAAAGAGAGAGCATTCAAAAAATCTAAGATTATACAATAAATACTCCTTTGCTTAAGGAAAAACACATCTTAATAATAGTCTCAGTTCTCTTGTATGGATGAGCTCAGATAAGTTATAGCAGGAAGATATGTAGTTAAATATAATTAATTACTAGAAATCCTAATGTTTGCAGTGAACGTGAGAAAATCAGTATGCGAAATACTTACATTTGTGTGTTGGGTACTATTGTGGAAACTATTTGCTTGGCATAGAGTTCTCTGAAGTCTGATGGTAGCTCAAGACTATTAGGTCCATATTTAAAGATGTTAGCTTTTGATATGATATGAATCCATAGTGGAGAAGAGCAATGTTTAAAAAAGTGGAAGCACAAGGCGAATTACTAGACCTTTTGATAGAGTGAGGCGTAAGCTTGAAAGCGTGGGGCGTAAGCTTCATAAGTTTAAGTATTTTAATTTTAAATCTGTAAAAAATATGAACATATGATATATATAGTGGTATAATAATTTACAAATATATATATTCATGTCTTGATTAGTATACTTAAATATGTGAAGCATAGAAATAAATCAAATCATAATAAACTAAGCTACATATATGACATATATATTTTATTTACACTCATATGGTCATTTTGAAAGTACATAGGGGCATTTTAATGTTAGTCAAAATTTTTTTTATCCTCCTATCTTGTGTGATGCACGCACTTTAAAAGAAAAGCGCTTTATGAAGCTCAAAGTGCACACTTCAGTTAGGCTTTAAGCGATGAGGCGTAAGCTTCAAGGGATAAATGGTTTCACTCTTGAGTTTCGAAGCGTTTACCTTCAAAAAGTTGCGAAGCGAGTTTCAAAAAAGGTTTTCCCCCAAACATTGGAGTAGAGAATCCCCTCCATCTAAATCCATCAGTCTTTGTAGATACGGGTTGGTTATAGTTTCCTAAATTCTAAGGATGATGTTGTGTAGGTTTTTAGGTTTATTTGTTTATCAAATGCCAATCTAATAAGTAGGTTTATAAATTTTGTTATGTATAGGATAATCTAATGCTATAGGTTGTGGAGATAATGAATCGGCATGGTTGCTTTATAAATGATGTCCAATGAGAAAAAATTGTCACATACATACGTGTCTGTAGTATGAATTGAATTCCTTAGACATAAACAAGCAAAATTGATCTGCTCGATGAACTAATGTGAAAACAACCATAAAACAGTTTAAGCATTTTGGGTTAAAAACATATTGGATGTCTAACTAGTTATGAAATATAGCAAGTAACAACAAAATACATCAACTTGCACCGTACACTAAACTATTGAAGCACAAAGTGAGTTTAAAAATGTGTAGGTTGAATATTTTGTGTCTAAGAGTGATTTTAGTAGTTGGTGGGTTTATAAATAAATGGTTGTCAATTTTGGGTCTAGAGAGAAAAATCCTTTATGGAGGTGGGTTGGTTTTAAATAAATGCGGAAGAAAAACTTTAGGTTTATAGACTAAAAATCCATTTATTACGTGGTAACATTAGCGTGAAAAAAGCCAAAAAGTAATATTTGGTTAAAAATACATCGTAAACCTAACAACTTAGAAAAAATTTGAAAATTATAGCAAAAATTTGTAACTTATACTATAAGTCAAGCTACGGAAATCAAAGTGAGTTTAAAAAAACTTTTTTTTTTGTGTATTTTGAGTCAATGAGTGATTATGGACGTGGATGGTTTGAAAATAAATAGAGGTAAACATTTGGGTTTATATGCAATAAACCCTTTTGAATTATGCACAAAAATCCTATCTACAGTTGCAATGTACACCATATATCAAATTGATGAAAGACGAAGTGTGTTAAAACAACGTTGTCAATGTGCAAGGCGCAATGCGGGACGCAAAGCAATATTACGCACACATGCGCAAGGCGCAACGTGATGCGCGCGCCCGAGTGATGTGAGGCGCACGCCGCACATAATTTTTTCAATATATGTAATCAAGCGCGAAAGAACATGTTTTAAGAATTTACATGAAAAATATCATGATAAATAATAACTTACTACAAAATCACAATATAATGCCTTAATTCTAATGCTAAAACCCAACATAGTAGCAAAATTCATCTCACAATATAATGCCTTAATTCTAATGCTAAAACCCAACATAGTAGCAAAATTCATCAATTTTCAAATCTAATGTTAAATCAAGACTAATATCCAAGCAAAGAAATAGTAATGGTCCTCAATTGAAGGCTATTAAAAAGGCCTAATGGATTTATTTTGCTTTTTGGGATATGGAATATCAAGTATAAAGACTCGATTGAAATGTTAACAAACAAAACTATATGGGGATATGTACTACATGCACCATATCAAGTATAAAGACTCGATTGAAATGTTAACAAACAAAACTATATGGGGATATGTACTACATGCACCCTGCACAAAGTAAGGATGTACGCGAGGCGCAAAAGACGCTGCTGCGTCAGATGTGGGGCGTTTCGCCACCGTCCCGCATCGTAAGGCGTATGAGGCGCGCGCCTTTGAAAACACCGTGTTAAAATATAAATCCAACGAGCATTTTGGGTCTAAGAGTAATTCTGTAAAGTGGGAACTTAAAAATTAAATAGGGGTAAAACTTTGTAATTGTAGGTGAAAAGCCTTTTTCTAGAAGTGGGTGAGTTAAAAATAAATAAGGGTAAGACTATGGGTTTAGGGGTTAAATCCATAGTTGCAGCTTATTACATATATCAAACATATGAAACAAAAAGTGGGTTTCAAAATGACTTATTGATGTATTTTGAGTCCAAGATTGGTTTAGGATGTGGACATGTTTAAAAATAAACAGAGATAAAACTTTGGATTTAAAAAAAACCACCATTTATATTACACTTCATTATATTATACTATTATTTTTGTTAAAAATGATGGAGCATCTTGTGCTTAAGATTGATTTTCAGAGTGGGCGGGCCTAAGAATTCATTGGGTTTCAACATTGGGCTTATAGATAAAAATGCCCCTTTATAATATCCCCTTGTATACATCTTTTCTTTTAAACTACATTCTAAAAACTATTGTGTTGCATGACAGTGGATACCGTGCCAGCTACCATGTGACATCCAATAGTTTTACTATAGTATATAGGTAAATTGTAAGGTTGGCAGTATATTTATTAACAATGCTATGAATAAATATGCTAATATATATGCTACATGAGGTTAACATAATGGTAAGGAATCTCTCTATTAGTTTACCTCCTACCAAAATGGACTACACCTACTTTTCTCGTCCTTCATATAATAAAGATAATTGTCTTTAAAAATCATCTTATTCTTGAACTATGTATCAAGTGGTTGTCTAATGAGTGTGTTTTCAATAATAGAACAAATATAATCATTTGATGGATGGAATGGTGTAGACTGTCCATTGCAATGGTCTGCAAGGTGGTTTGTTGTTGACTCTATAGATAATGAGTCGCCAGAACATCATTCTCATCTATATATCGGGTGCTTGTTAAGTTTTCTTCCCATTTTCTATTTCTGTTTTCCATCTATCTATTTGCTCATGCACCACAAATGAGCATGTATCAATAAATTTCAACAACATTGAACTTCTCTCCTTATTTTGTTAGTGATGAGAGATGAATAATAGATTTAACATATGAGATGATAACGTTTTATAAGTATGTTGATTCTGAATTCCACATTTTTTGATATAGACCAGTGGAACTATATTGGTAATTCAATGACCGGACCTATATAAGTTATAAATTCCTTATGCTTGACTTTTCTCCTGGTAACTGCAGGAAAGATTCTACAGGCATACCCCATATACTTGAACACAGTGTGTTGTGCGGATCCAGGAAGTACCCTCTAAAAGAACCCTTTGTTGAGTTGTTGAAAGGTAGCTTGAATACATTTTTAAATGCATTCACCTATCCTGATAGAACCTGTTATCCAGTCGCTTCTACAAATACCAAGGTAATTATACATTAGACTCTGATGCTGTTTCACAACTTCTCAATGCTATAATGCTAGCTTTCCATTACATGAATTTAAATTCTTCAGGACTTCTACAATTTGGTTGATGTCTATTTGGATGCTGTCCTTTTCCCTAAATGTGTTGACGACTTCCAAACTTTTCAACAAGAGGGTTGGCATTATGAGCTTAACGACCCCAGTGAAGATATATCGTATAAAGGTTACATAGTTCCTGATACAGCAATCTTGTTTTTGACCCAAGGGGCAGATAACTTGCTTTAACTGGTTTTTAATTGATATTTTAGGATTTTTTTTCTGTTGTTTTGTTTTATTTCATTGTCTTGGTTGATTCATGTCCTGATCATTACTAAAATGGTGTTTTATTTCAGGAGTTGTGTTCAATGAAATGAAAGGAGTATATTCCCAACCTGATAACATACTGGGTCGCGTAACACAGCAGGCATGTTTCCAATAGAATATGTTATTCACTTATTTGTTTGTTCTGTTAAATAGTAACAATGGATGTAAATTGTATTCCGTCCTCGTGTCTATAGGACGTCAGAAATTATATCCATTATGAAAAGGGGATGCTGCATTTATGATTAGTTGATAGCTGGCTTAAGAGACACTTTATATTTAGAGTTTTCACTTTTAGATATGATGTCTGAAACCATAAGTCAGAAGGACATTAAAGCATTTGACAACACAATTTTCGTAGCCCAAGATCTGTTATGGTCAGTTGAGAAAGTAAAAAAAGGAGAAAAGGGCTATACAACTTAAAATTCTATTGAAAAAAAAACCCAAAACTGATGTACATGTAAATCAGTTTATAAACAAAGAATTTAGCTAAACTCATAATCTACAGCAGGTCCCGACTTACCCTTCAGATAGTTTACTTGAAATTGAACTAAGATGCAACATGTGGCTAGAGGTAAGCACAGCTGAACTTTGACAAGAGCAATCACAATTATTAATTGAGGAGATGAACCCTTATAGAATTGAATGGAAGAAAAGGATCCACGTTGCAAAGCCCAAGAATTGAGGAAAATGCCTTCTTGTTGCTGTATATATGTTCTATTAAGGAAACAGACACACAAACACACTATCGATTGTCCTAAATAGACCCATAATGTTTGGCCTGTCATGCTTTTGAAGACCAAAACTACAAATGAAGGTAGAAACAATGCAGTACACATTAACTATTATTGTGCATCATGATAAGAAAAATTTCCACATATTTTGATTTTTTCCGAGAACCCTTTTCTATGCTTAGAAATAATGATTTGACTAGATTTGCGTAGCTCTGTAATGGTTTAGATGGCTTATGTTTAGAAAACTGATCCGTTATTGCCATATATAATATGAGACATATCTCTACGTTAGGATGTAAAACTGTATCTCTCAATGCTCATCACAATTTCAGAGTTTTATTGTAGTAGTAGGGACTTTAAGATAGTATTAGAAAGACTTTAAGATAATATTAGAGCAATTCTGGTTCAACCCAAGAGGCTATGAATTTAAAACGGATTAAAAAATAGATATTGTTGCATGAGTCCTGTTTTCGGCCTAAAGAGAGCTCAACTTGCAGGTGCATGTTAGAATATAAAGCTATATCCCTCAATCCTCACTATAATTTCAGAGTTTTAGTGTAGTGACAGAGACTAAGACTCTGCCCCTAGGTTACTCGGATACGGCGTTTTGGATGCCATGTCCATGTTCGACACTTGTCGGAAGCGGATTGTCTGCATACATGCCATGGACACGTGTGATTCAAAGCAAAACTCGATTTCACTATTACTTATACTCTAAATTATTTCTTTGGTAATATTAGGTTCAAAACCAATCAGTTTCTGAACTCAAAAACTGTAACCTATTACTTAAATATTTGAAAATTATTAGTTTGCATGCACGTGCATTGCGCGTGATTAAATATCATTATTGTTTCTTTTTGGTCTATTTCCTTACTTAACCGTGGTTGTGAAATATTGCTTTATAGCTGGCTTTGACTATTTCACGTAATTGGAGATATCCTCATGTCTTTAAATTTTCTTTAATGAGTATATTTCTCTTTATTTAAGTGCCCTTCTCTATCCCATTCGATTAGTCTTGCAATTCAGAAATTTTTTAGCTTAACTAACTCAGTTATACCTTCTATCAGGACTCCTTTATTTCTTAGTACATTGTGGCTATTGGCATTCTAATGGGATGTAGTTATTCTAGTTCAAACCTATCAAAACAATTGCAATTGGTGAAGATCCTAGATCTTTTGAAATTATATATATTTAAGATCTCATAATCAAAACCCATGAAAAACTTAAACAATACCTATTTGAGTAATTGTACTCACATAAATATTTTTATGGATTTTTTGATAATTTACTCAAGAGTGTTATTTATAATATTTTTACTTTTTATGGATTTTTTTGGTAATTTTCATATTTTTCGAGTGTTTGGTTGAAATTTTGATTTTTTAGGGAGTTGGTTGTAAATTTTAAAATTTAAAGGGTTGTTTGTACTTTTTAGTTGTAATTTATTTATTTTTGGGGGTCATTTATAATTTTATAATGTTAAAGAGTCTTTCTTCATTTTTTAGATTAGAGTTTTTTATTTGCAATTTTAGCAAACCTTCAAAATTAATAAATGGTTAAATTTCACCGAATTCTCAATAAGTTTAGTATTTTGAACTAAATCTCTAATATCTTTAATACTCTCATTAAACCTCCAATAATGTTTGGCAAAAAACTTGCAAAATTAACATCATTAGTTTACGTGTAGTCAAATGTCAAAAATACACCCTAACAACCCAATAAGGTTTAGATTTTTTTTACTTAACCCTGAATAAAATTTGGTAAAAAACCCCAAATAATGGATGCATATAATTTTTAGATTTTCCCAAATGTTTGTAATTATTGTTGTTTTCAAGATGTTGATTGTAATTTTTGGATTTTAAAGGGGGTTGTATCTAATTCTTGATTTTTCTGGGGATTGTTTGTTCTGTTTATTTTTTTTTTGAGTTTTATAATTTTCTTTGCATTACTTTGTAATTTTCTAATTTAAGTGTTTGTTTATGATTTTTTTAGATTTTAGGGGTTGTTTGCAATTTTAAAATTTTCAAGGTGTTATTTGTAATTTTTTACTTTCTATGGGGTTTCTTATAATTTTATATTTTTCATGTGTTTGTTTGAATTTTTAAATTTTTAGTGCTCGTTTGTGTAATTTTCAAATTTTAAAGGGGTTGTTTTGTTTGTTCATTTTGGATGTTTAAAAGAAGTTATTTTCTGTTTATGCATTTTTGTGTGTCATTTATAATTTTAGAATTTTAAGAGCTTTTTTCTAGTTTTTAGATTTTCAAGGGTTTTTTGTAATTTAAGCTTTTTGAGGGGGCTATATGTTTTTTAAAAATTTTCAAGGGTTTGTTTTTAGTATCCCGATTTGTAAATGACTTTTCTATAATTTTTAGAAATTTAAAGGGAGTTGTTTGTAGCATTCAAAATTTTCTGTGTGTTATATTTATAATTTTAGGTTTTTAGGTAGCTATTTGTAATTTTTTAGGATTGTTTGTAAATTTATTGGATAATTTGTAAATAAGTATGACTGGAGGGGTATGTATTGTGCTTGAGGGTTAACTTTAGTCAAGGTAATTTTTTTTAGGATTGTTTATAAATGAATAGGATCATTAGTAAATAAGAATGATTTGAGGGGTATATACCGTACTTGAGGGTTAATTTTTTCATTATGAAGGTTAAGTGCGAAAAATCAAAATGTTTTGGATATTTTTTGAAATTATCATATATATTGAGGATTTAGTGGGAGTTACAAATATTTAGGAATTTAGTACTCAATTCAAAGTTATGAGAGATTTACTAAAATTTAAGTTTTTAAAATAATTAGGGAGCGACACATGATATTTTTTAGATTTTGTAATTGTAGATAACTATAGATTGTTTAGAATTAACAAAGATCTGATTGCTAAAATTTTCTACTTTTTATAGAGAGAAAATTTTAATTATGGATATGAATAATATTAATTTAATGAGAATTCTCAGGAGTTAGTTGGACACATGTAATTTTTTAATATGATAGAGAATTAGTTTCACTATTTGATTTCTTTCCATATCAATTTTTGGTTAAAGATTTTACTTCTAAAAAATTTGATATATTATTAATTAGGATAAAATTAGAAGGTAATATCCAAAAGGGCTAAGGGTAATATTGACTATGAAAAGTTGTTCTCAAACCCGCTCTTTTGTAAGGAGTATGATATGATATGATATGATCATCGTATTATTCCCATGCGATTAAAGCTAAACTTTTTTTTGTTAAACCTTATTCTTAGTTTAATTTAACTTGATTTTTAACTGTTATGGATAATAGAAAGAAATATACAAATGCTATAGGTATTTTAATTCAATATTATATCTAATGTAAATGATATATATGGATATAGCCTTGTCTTTGTATCTTACATTTTACAAGTTTGCCGTCTCCCTTGTTCGTAACCGTGTTCGCATCCGTATCCGTTTTTGCACCTATTAATTTAGGAATAAACAGTTTTGTGAGTATTTAATAGAGAAAACTATTTTACTGGGTCTTAACAAGTTTTTCACATTGCAAATAGTATTATGTATTTCTTATGCATCAATAAGTCTTTTGCATGCGTGAAACAATATCATGTATAATATGGTTATCGTAAACTTATAAATGTAGAATAGGGTTTTTGCACTTAAATGCCTCAATGTTTACACCATTTTTAACTTTGATACACCAAGGTTTTTTTGCCCAAAAAATTACCCAATGTCTTAAGAAATTTAACTTTGATACCCTCTTATAAGTCACTTCAGGGTATTAAAGTTATAACTATTTTTTGAACTTTCTGGTGGTGTTAAAAAAAAACCTTTGGGGTATCAAAGTTTAAAATAACAAACTTTTTGGGGTATTTAAGTGCAAAGAGCTCTATAGTACTATTTATCTATTAGCTTTGATTTTTCTTTAGATTTTAAAAATTCATGATGATGAAGTTAATTAGATGTTAACCCAACAAATGGTTACAACAATCTGTTGTCTATGATTGTCTACCTTATTAGCACTCATTTTTATTATCTAATAACTACAAATACGACTTTGCTGTTTGACAAAAATGATATCCTCAACAGTAAGGAATTGGTCTCATATTCATTGTCTGTCCATAGATGATCGTATTCATAAATGTTTCCATAGATTATCTCAAAGCTTGATCAGGTTTTCCCAATTATTGCTATAATTGTCAACTAGGAGCATCTTAATATATTTAATGCAAATATATATCCATCTAACATCTGTTGTTTAATGCCTTGTAGGCCCTTTTCCCAGAAAATACTTATGGTGTCGACAGTGGCGGGGATCCAAAAGATATCCCAAAGCTTACATTTGAAGAATTCAAGGTTCTCACTTAATCTACATTTTTCGCATTATGGGATATTGAACTAATTGGATGTTTATTCTTCAATTGTAGGAGCTTCATTTGTTAACTTTTATAAACTTAGCTATTGTGTTGAAGTTAAACTTAATTGAGATTATTATGTCCAGAACCTTTTTTGTTTATTGATTATCCATCACTGCCAGAAGCTTGTGCAATTTTACTTGAAAATTTGTCTTTGAAATATTTCTTCTATCTTTGCTTAAGCTTTTTCACAGTTGGGGATCTTACTGTCTTCTAGATCTGCATGTACATGTAATCAATATAACAATATATAAAATTTCTTTTTTTAGTCCAAATGAATAGTATACATATCCTTAATTAAAGGAGTATTTAGGCAACGATATGAGTAAATATTGGAATGAGCTTTTGATGCCATCTTAATTCCCATTTGTACCATAGACAAGCTTATTTTGTCATTTCACATATCAATCATAAAGTAGTGGACCTGCATGTTGTATATGCCAGACCTTTACACATATCTATATTATTGTTGTAATTCCAAACGAGACATTTGCATGACAAACTCTTTCACTGGCATGTAAAATATATTAATTGATTATTTTTAAGGCATGTATACAATTATGCGATCTAGGTATTGGTTCAATATTATACAAATATTCTGGTTTATGACATTGCATGCATATGTTTTAGGAATTTCACCGTAAATATTACCACCCTAGCAATGCCAGGATATGGTTCTATGGAGATGATGATCCAACTGAGAGACTCCGGATTTTAAGTGGTATGTTAATCTCTTTCATGCATGTTAGAATATCTCTTATACAGTGTTGGCTTTCTACGAATTGTAAAATTTACATTGCTGATGAAAGCATCATGCAAAGCACCCGTATAATTTTAAATAATTTAATCTCTAAAATTGATTATGAAATTGAAACATGAGATGTCTTATTTTATAACTGTCTAGAGAAATCTAGAGAAATAAAAAGTTTTACTTGGTATGTAACAATAAGTTGGTAAAATCACACTAGTTGGGAGAGGTACTGGAATTTTTTTGGATTTAGCATGTCATGCTTGCTTTACCCTATTGATTGGTAGGCTACTCCAAGTCTCTAAGTGGCATTAGTGATGTAAGCTTAATTAGATATTATGTTTGTGTTGCACTTTGGATTAGTCTCTAGGACTATTTAAATAATTATTCATGTATAATTTATGCCCGTAGTGTGAAAGAGAGACACCTAATGAATGTAAAAATTAGTAGAAGATTTTATCTCGTAATAGCTAAGAAATAAAATTCTGGTAGATACTCATGACAAAAATTTAAAGCTAACTTAAAAGAGAAACACTATCATAATATTAATTAATCTTAAATAATCAAAGTCCAAATTCAAAAGTTTAAAGCTATAATATACTTCTTGGAAAATTGCAGGCATGAGGATTAAAAGAATAGAGCTATGTATATTGAAATGACTAGCTCATAAGAATCAATCAGTTATTGTTTTGTTATCTCTTGGGTCACCATTTTAATAGTCCATGTGAAATATGCACCGTGAATCGAGATTGTAATATGGTGGAAGTTGGTGTGAATTTGGTAACATCGGTTCATAATTCTTGAGATAACATAAATGGTTTGTGAAAATCATACCAGTCAGAAGAAGTATAATTTGCAAATAGGAAATCAAGAGTGAAATAAATTGTAACGTGTAAACTTGATAACCAAAACTTTGAATACCTTTCTGTTAGGAAGTATCACTGTTATAAATAGCGGTAAATAGCTCCGCAATAGCGACGCTAATAGCGTTAACGTTATCTTCCCGCAACGCTATCGCCCAATAGCGATGGCATAGTGCAGAATATGCGCTTTTTGCTCGCAAAAGCGGCCAATAGCATGCTATAGCGGTTAATAGCGGGCGATTGTGGGCAAAATCCGTTTTTTGACCCTATTTAAAAATGGCTTGAGGTTTATTTTTTAAAATTAAACCCGACCAGCAACTACTGCATCCCATCGCCTCCCGTGATTTTTTGCGTATTCTTGCTACCTCCCACAACCTCCGGCACCTCTCTCAGTATTTCCTCTTACCTCTCGCCGTGAGCTCCTTATACTGCAGTACTCTCACCGCTCAACTCATCTTCTCGAAGACGATGACTCTTTGACTCTTTTAGTCGTCTTTGGTATTATGTGATGGTTACATATCTATTTCATGTTTAAGATCTCTTTAAATCATTAAATATGCACCAATGTTGAAAATAGCGATAACGCATAGCGTAACGCTTACCTCCGGTTAGGTTACAATAGCAATAACGCATAGCGTAACGTAGGTTAAATAATTTATTATTATTTAAATAATTTATAGATATATAACATTCAAAATAGAAAATATGAATAATCATCGCAATTCTTAATTTCACAAATCAATATATGATCACAATTTCACAACAAAATCAACCGTGTTTGCCTTAACGATCAATCCAAAGGCGAAATTCGACGATAGATCAATAACTAACCGAAACCTAACATCGTGTGTTCCAGCCAAATAGATCAAATTTCTCACGCTAATCATGTTAAAGAGTAAAACAATGGCAACTTCAGGGAACAAGTCAAGCTCACCCTTCCACACATATTAATTTTTATGGCTTTAAGTGTGAAACATAGTCTGATTATCAGTATTCAAGATTGTATTATGTATTTACCTTGCTAATTTCAGAAGTTGAATGGCGGGAGAGGACGACGATGTCGAAAGGGGCGGCGGGAGACGACGATGACAGCAAGAGTTAGGGTTTTGTTAGAATTTAATCTAACATCGTGTGTTCCTGCCAAATAGATCAAATTTCTCACGCTAATCATGTTAAAGAGTAAAACAATGGCAACTTCAGGGAACAAGTCAAGCTCACCCTTTCACACATATTAATTTTTATGGCTTTAAGTGTGAAACAGATTATCAGTATTCAAGATTGTATTATGTATTTACCTTGCTAATTTCAGAAGTTGAATGGCGGGAGAGGACGACGATGTCGAAAGGGGCGGCGGAAGACGACGATGACAGCAAGAGTTAGGGTTTTGTTAGAATTTAATAACTTATGAGAAGTGGGAGAGTCAATCACAGCCCTTGAATAATTTTAAAAGCAATCCAAACTATTAAACAAAATAACCTACGTTACAAAACGCCACGACGCTACGTTACGTAGCTTACGCTATGGCTAAAATAGCGCACGTTATTTTATGCGTGCGCTATTTGAAAACGCTATGTAGTGTTAGGTTAACGCTACGTTACGTTAAGCGCTATTTTGCGCTACGAAACGCGCTATTTTCTACACTGATATGCACTTTTAGATTTTCTATTTCTTTAATTTTTTGAGTGTTTATACATATCTAGACTAGACTACTGTTTGACTTTGCACTATTTACAGCTATTTTACCGTAATAACCCTAAATAGATTTAGCGACGCCTTACCGCTACTCGGCGCTATCCGCTATCGATAACCTTGGGAAGTATGTGGCTAAGGATCAATACACTATTCTCACAAACAAGACAATTACAACAAGAAAAATCACAACCTTAAATGACAGATTTTATGTTGTTCGGTTAAACATAAGTCAAGGGAGAACTAATGTTACAAAAAGCGCTAGGCGGACTAGGCGTTTGAGTCAGCGCCTAGACGCTTAGGCGTTTGGTTATTTTAAAAATTATTTAATTATAGTGATTGATAAAAATATATATTAAATTGAAATAAATTGTAAGAAAAGATAACAATATTAGATCCACAATAAAATATGTATATTTAAATACTAAATAGCCAAAACAATAAGGATATAGAAAACATTAGGAGGCCTAGGCGCTAGACCCAACGCCTAGAGCCTAGGAGATTTTTATTTTTATTTTTTAATTACAATAATTGATAGTGCATGTCAATGTTATGGAAAACTTAGATGTCGGACTGGTGTCTAGGCATATTTATTTCTTCATTTAAGTGATGGTCGAGGAGGTTTTGATGAAGGTAAGAGAAGGTATTGCCGTATTGGAGGTGTTCATATTTGGAGATTAAAAGTGTTTGAAGTAGGTTGTAGGACGTGGAGGCTGCAACATAGAAAGTCACGATCAAGGCCTAAATGTTGCAGTCCACATAAGTAGACAATGATCCCCTAAACACTCCTAAAATCTAAGTAGACATCCTAGGTATCATCTAGACGTTAGACGCTAGTTAAACGGCCTAGGTACCGTCTAGGTCTAGGCTATGCCTAGCGAACTAGGCAGATGCTTTTTAAAATAGTGGGGAGAACAATGTCGAATCGATTCTTTTACTATAAATGAGAGATTACAAGTACAAGAGAGATCTTACCTCCAATAGGAGAATACACAAGCTCACTGTTATAAATAGCGGTAAATAGCCTCACAATAGCGGCGCTAATAGCGTTAACGGTCCCTTCCCGCGACGCTATCGCGCAATAACGATGATATATTGCGGAATATGTCTATTCGCAAAAACGGTCAATAGTGTGTCATAACGGTAAATAGTGAGCGATTGCATTCGAAATTTACTTTTTAATTGTTATTTAAAAACGGTATGAGGCTTATTTTTTTAAAATTAAACTCAACCCTTGACCATTGTATTCTACCGTCTCCTGTGATTTTCAGCATACTCCTGCCACCTCTCATAGTCTCTGACACCTATTTTGATACTTCCTCTTACCTCGTTCACCGTGAGCTCTTCTTAAGGTAGTCTTATCACCGCTAAGCTCTTCTTATCGAAGACGACTTTTTGACTCCTCCAGTCATCTTCGGTATTACGTGATGGTTACATGTCTATTTCATGTTGTCATCTTCGGTATTACGTGATGGTTACATGTCTATTTCATGTTTAGGATCTTTTTAAATCATCCAATATGTACTTTTAGACATGTCTATTTCATGTTTAGGATCTTTTTAAATCATCCAATATGTACTTTTAGATTTCTTAGATTTTTTTTAATTTTACTTTTTTAGTATTTATACATATCTAAATTAGACCGCTATTTGACTTTACGTTTTTTACCGTTATTTTACCGTAATAGCCAGAAATAGCCTTAGTGATGCCTCACCGCTACGCGACGCTATCCGCTATCGATAACCTTGCACAAGCTTAAGAATTTGTACATGGTCTCTAATCTTTAGGGAAGATGAGTTCAACGTAAACCCTCAAGAGATGACTCCTCTTCTTCAACCTCTAATAAGCTCCAAGAAACCTTGAGCTCTCCTCCAAACTTTAATTTTCTCTTCTCTTTTTTCTTCTCTTGTTTTCTCCCTCATTCTAATTCACTCATCTTGTTTAGTAAAGGGTTATCAATAATGACCATTGTCAGATGAAAAATCTAATGGTTCATACTAAACATGTGCAAGTAAGAATACAAATAGGTCATGAGTGGGATTTAACTTATCGGCTCAATGCCAAGTATCTATAATCTCCCACTTGATGGAAAATCACCAACCTTCACCACAATCATTTCATTTGACACAAGCATTGTTCTCCGTCAAACCCAGTCTACATCTTGATAAGTTTGTAAGGTTTCCTACACATTATTTGTTTATGCATAGAAATAGCTTTTTTATTAATATTTGGGCTTATGTAAATGAAGTCAAATTCCGCTCGTGACCTACGTGCATTTCAACTTACTCATGTTAAATATAAGCCATTGGATTGTCATTTGATCTCACTGTGATCATTTGTTGAGGGCTCCTTGCTAAAGGCGATGAGTGGATTAGAATGAGATTGAGAAAAAAACAAGAGAGAAAAGTAAAGAGGAGGTAG